AAAAGATATAAAAGAAAAATTGTTTTTGGTTTAAAAGAGGATAATAAAATGTAATTCTTGATAAAAAAAAATGTAATTCTTAATAATAAAATGTAATTTGTAAAAATAATTAAAAGAAAATTATGATGAATATTCTAATAATATATAATAGAGAATTATATCTAAATATTTCAATAATACTATCTGATTAATTATATATGATTATCTCCTAGATTATAGCATCAATAAGTTTATCCCATAAATTATAACTTATGATTATCCCATAAATTATATGAATATTGCATAGATTATAACATTAATAGGATTATTTCCTAGATTACAAATATAAATATGTTTATGTTTGTCAATATATCACCAAGTGAATATATAGGAAAACATTTCAGGGAGAGTATACAATAAATCTGTATCAAAAAGGAACCATTAAGTATCATGAACGGTTCCAATTATACCAAAGACCGATATAATTTAAATAAACGATTTGCTAAATACTATAGTGGGTCCATGCCAAAGATTCGATAATAAAATAATCCGAGGATCGTAAATTTCACTTCATAGAAACCATGAAGAGATGGAAACTGGACGTATGAAGAGTGGGCGTGTTGCAGCTGGCAAAAATAATATAAATAGAAAAATATAATATAAAAAATGTCAATCAATTTGGATATTACTTTTGTGTATATTTTTATATAAAGTATGGTATTTCGTTTTTGTTATTTTTCTGTGATTTGGAATTGATTCGAAACATAGGGGTAGCCGGGAGGGGGGGGGGGTAAGGAGAAATTCCCGCTATCCTTCAGAAATTTATCACCTTTCGTGAATATGTTTTTAAACTAATAAAAATATCCTCCTTAGTCCTCTCCCCATCCCCGATCCCCTATAAATGTATGAGTATACCTTAAGCTATTGATTATAATTCATACTTTTTGGAAAAAAGCAAATTTATAAAAAAAGTGAAACCAAAAATGGGAAATGAAATATAAGCCAAAGATAAGTCTTAAGACAAAAGTGAAATGTGTTATAATTACTATTAATAGATCCATAAAATTACTAAATAATATAATATCTTAAAAATAATTTTTTATATAAAATATAATTATAAAATTATTGATAAATTAAATTATAAATTAAGTAAAATAAAATGCACAATACAAACAGTGTGTCGTAGATTTACAATATATCTTATCTAATATCATGACAATCAAATAATCTTTACTAATAGGGAATTATATATTTTACAGAAGACTATAGAATATTGAAAAGGACATCAGAAAATATCTTAAAGAATGTAAATGATAAAAATAATCCTATATTTCAATAGCTTTAATATCTAATAAGGTACATTCATTGTGGGCAATGATTGTGGGATTAATAATATTTTTAAATAAATAGATGGCGTTAAAGATTTGAATGCAAATAGTTACTTATATTTATTATCAAAAGCATTTATTAGTAATATTTATTCTATAACTGTCAAAAAAGTGGCATTTTACCAATGATTATCATTGCATTTTACCTAATATTTTGCAACTAATTCTATAGAATAGAGAAATATCAACTATATGTCTACTTACTTTTTATAAAGAATTTCTTATAATTTTTTGAATAAAATTTTATATAAACTAAGAAAACTTGTTCAAGGTCGGGAAAAAGCGGGCCGAAGACCAGCCCAAAATGAGGTCTGATGGCGAAGGCCCCAGAAAAATTTTAATTCACCCCCCCCCCCTCCCATTTACAAAAAACCTGGCTACGCCTATGATTCGAAAATAATATTATAGACATTGGAGTTCTTGCGTTGTAATAGATAGGATATTTTACTTGAAGTCTATTATTTATATTACAAATTATACTATGCAGAAATCAGTATGACGTTAATTTGCGTCTCCAGCTCATTTGCATTGATACATATATTTATATAAATGGTCAGTCTAGATATTAATATATGTCATTGGGATAGAGAAAACGGAATTTCCATATTGAAATAAATAAAATAGAAAAAGGTAAAATCAAAGTGTCAGATAAGTTTTTATTATCTATAATATATTATATAAAAACAAGAAATATTAAAATCATTTTAATGTAATGTCTAATATATATTTCACAAAATTGAAAATATCCAAATATTAATTAGTTGAATAACTTCAGGAATTTAAAATCTCGATCATAAATTACTTAAGCATCATATAAAAAAATTTATTACACTATGAAAATTCGTTACCTGTTGCGTTATATACTTTTTGTTTTTGAATTCTTTTTGTTTTTGAATTTTTTATAATCTAATTTTTATTATTTACTATAATCTAATTTTTGTTATTTGTTATAATCTAATTTTATTTTATAAACGGCGTAACCTTACTTTTTTTATATTATTTTACTTTTTTGTATTTCGTTATATATTCTAATTTATATTTTAGAAAATGTATATATACCTTAAGAAAAGAAAAAGAAGTTTTTTAATAAAATATATTTTTATTTAATTACAGAAATACGCGTAATGATACTACAGGAGTTACACCATCACAGAGAATGTTTAATCGAGATATTATAATTAAATGGGACTTATTAAAACCGATGGTTGAGAAGGAGAATAAAATAAACGTTACTTTAACACGAAGTATAACTTTTAATGTAGGAGATTTTGTTTGGTATAAAATACAAGGTGATGATAAATGGTGCAAAGGTATTATCACACATAAAGAAAGTGATATGATGTTCCAAATTAAGACTGAGAAATGTATTTTGAGGAGACATTTAGATCAAATAAGAATTAGAAACTGTTTTAACACAATTATTAACTATGACTCTAAGGATTCTTTTAAGGAGGGAAGTATGGACAAAAATATAAAAATTACTGATAATAACGATATAACACCTATCTCTAGACCTGTGCGAATTAAAAAAAACCTGCTTATTTAAATGACTATGTAACTTAAAATATAAAATAAATGTTAAATTGCATAAACTAAATTAAATATTAAAACGCTTATATTAAAACGCAAAAAATTAAAACGCTAAAAATATAACAATCTTATTGATTTATCATTCTTCATTTATTCTTATGATGAACTATTATTTCTTATTCGCAACTTATTTATGATAATAACAATTTTGTAAAAATGATAATAACAATTGAGTACTATCAAACAAGCTATGATTAATGGAGACAATTTACGATATGGATATCAAGCTTGTGATTAAACAAACCTACGTGCAAAATCGAATTGATCAAACCAACGATTGGGACAAGCCAACGTTATGATGATTTGTGATACAACTTTATTACCAAAATGATAAACCACTTGGACAACAAACTCTCTATGACTTCTCCGATGAAATTATCAGAAGAGGGAGAATGTTGCGTTATATACTTTTTGTTTTTGAATTCTTTTTGTTTTTGAATTTTTTATAATCTAATTTTTATTATTTACTATAATCTAATTTTTGTTATTTGTTATAATCTAATTTTAATTTATAAACGGCGTAACCTTACTTTTTTTATATTATTTTACTTTTTTGTATTTCGTTATATATTCTAATTTATATTTTAGAAAATGTATATATACCTTAAGAAAAGAAAAAGAAGTTAGTTAATAAAATATATTTTTTATTTAATAAAGTTAATAAAACATATTTATTATTCACCGGCACATAATTCATGTTATTCTACATTACCTTTGCGTTCCTGGTTATATAAATAAAAAATATAAAAATCCTTTATATGTGTTATGGAGATAAAAAGCTAGATAAATCATCAAAATAACAATTTTAATCAAGAACATTATGATAATTAGAACTATTTATTTGATCTATTTTTTAAAACGTATTTATTTTTACTTAAAATATAATGGGAGGGCCTCCTTTGATCGTATTATTTTGATCGTAAAATGGTCCATCCATTTGTTTCATTTTAGGTTAAAATGGACGATTTTTTCATTCATATGAATTTATATTCACGCAATTATTCTAATTCTTTATAATAGATTAATGTAGTAATGTATACCTATTAATAAACATATATCAATTATTTATTAGATAATGAAGAAAGAAGAGCTACTGATTTTGAACTCCTTTAAATGATGGAAATAGAAGCAACTGATAAATATGATTTAAATTTATTATTTATTAGATAATGAAGAAAGAAGAGCTACTGATTTTGAACTCCTTTAAATAATGGAAAATAGAAGCAACTGATAAATATGATTACAATTTATTATTTATTAGATAATTATAACTTATAAATAAAATTAATTGATAATTTGGTCAGATTATTATATTTTATTATACATCTATATTATAATTATACATAAGTTTTATATAACAAGATGCTTTATCAGCAAATAAATATTTATTTATAATTTTTAAATTATATTGAGTAATTAGATTTTGAATATTCTTTTCTTTTGTTATAATATCCATCATGTACAAGCACAAATTTCCTTTTGAAGTTGGAATATATTGTATATCTAAAAATTACAGTGTCAAAATATAAATTATATTGTTAATGTCTTCCAGGTCTATAATTATATTAAAATATAATTTAAAAAAAATATTTGTAATCTACTTATAAAAGTAGTTTAATTATTAGTGTGGTTAAATGCAAAACTTGGGCCACATTTGTTAATATATCTAAAAAAATGTTTATTAATTTATACAATTATTTTTGTTACTTGAAATTGGAGGGTAAAAGTTATCTCTAGTAATTGGTTGTAATATTTGGGGCTGTATATGTTGTGGTTGTATTTGTTGAATTGTATTAGCTTGTTTATTCAAAAATAATTATTTTATTTGTTACTTATTGATTACTAGATGAGCTACTGGGTTGGCTAATATTCTGATCTATACTACTTTGAGAATCTCTGGTATTTGGTAGTATTTCTTGGGGTTGTAGTAATATACCTGTAGAAGAAGGTTGAATGTTAGTGTGGTTAAATGCAAAATGTTGTATTTGGGTTTCAATTGTTAATATTAAAAAAATGATTGTTAATTTATACAATTATTTTTGTTACTTGAATTTGGAGGGTAAAAGTTATCTCTAGTATTTGGTTGTAATATTTGGGGCTGTATATGTTGTGGTTGTTGTTGGGTTGTATTAGCTTGTTTATTCAAAAATAATTATTTTATTTGTTACTTATTGATTACTAGATGAGCTACTGGGTTGGCTAATATTCTGATCTATACTACACTGAGAATCTTTATCTAAATTAATGTATGTAATCTAGATAAGTTTAGTATTAAATATACCTTCAGCTGTTAGATGATTTTGTGTCACTTCAAATACACTACCTACTAACTTACCTCTGCCTTTACAATTTCTCCTTCTGCAGCGGTAATATACTGTAGGGCCAGCTATACTATGTATGGTATATTGAAATAGGTTATGGCAGATATTTTATTGTGTTGTCTAAAAAAATATTTTTTTAAAAATCAAATTAAATATATCATACTTTGTAATGATTCATTTCTTCTTTTAACAAATAGTCTTAAATTATCAGCTACAGTATTAAGCATAATGTTTTTAAATGATTTTAATTTACCGCGATTAAATAGACCAATCAGAAAAAAATGGACCAAATTTACGATCAAATGACTTTACGATTAAAGTTAGGCAAATCTTTTTTTAATAGTAATTTAAACAATTTTTTATTCTTAATTTTGTCTAAAATGGAAATAATATGTCAATATTAAATTTAAAAAGATGGGAGCAAAATCAAATAATGCAGATCAATTATTGGTACGAACATTATTTAATTTTATTTTATAAATTTAACAGGACTCTCAACCATCGCAAAATTTACCAAATAACACATCATTATTATCAACAAATAAGTAAAAATATACTAATCTTTAATTAAATTTATATTAATTATTAAGGCTACAGGATCATTTGAAAACGTTTGGATCTCCAGACAGTATTGATAGTGGAATTAATATGGAAACTTGTAATAGTTGCATTCCTTATCTTCAAACATTTAAAAATGATAGTGGAGATATTATTAAATCAATATATAACCAAAACTTAGAAAATAATACCAAAAATTTAGTAGATTCCAATCATAATTCTGACATTAGCATAGAAACAGAAAATAACATAAATTTTGTGCCTTCATATAATTCATATTCAAATATTCAGGATAAGGAATGCATCAAGGACAATATAATTGAAAGAATCAATGTTAAAGAAATTTTATCCAACAATATTAGTCTCATTGAGATGAATAATTCTATACATCAAGACATGAAAAGCAATGAAATTCAAACTATATTACCCGAAGGATGGAAAAGACATGAAGGTATTTTCCAAAATATTAAAAAATTTTTTTACCATATCTTGCACAATAAAATCTACTAAGAATTTTCTTGCCAGATTTGTAAATTAATATTATTATGTATGGTTACTAATTTAATATCACACTTACATTAACATTAAACCTAATTTATAGTAAGTCCAAAATACAGCAATGCTCAAGCAATGCATAATTCAGTGAAATGATAACATTGCTATACAATAACATGTATTTTGTAAGTTACACATTACTCTAGTTGGGTAATTACTATATTTTTATCCATTTAAGCCAATTTTTAGCCAGCTTAAACATTGACTAAACTGATTTTTTAGCTAAAAACTATTCCTTTGGTATTATGGTTTTTCTTAAAATAAAGCAGCTTTGAATACCTTAATATCAACCGGTTTTCTCTGGTATGTGTTGTAGATTAACCTGAATTGGCATACATTTAGCTATTACCCAACTACACACAATACATTACTCAATTTACATTGTGGTATTTTGTGTATATATAAAATGTCTACCTAATTCCTAAATTTGCAAGAAGTGGCATTCACTATTTCAAGCTCATAGCCAATGAAGGAGAGGTACCCCCCTACTATCTTTAGCAACAATATAAGGTTTTCATGAATTGTGAATTGCAAAGTATTCTATTGTAAATTTTAGCAAAAAATTTAACTATTTATTCCTTATGTATAATAATTTATCCCACAAAAACATATTTTCATACATTTTCTAAATCTTAATAAACATTCATCAAGGATATAAAATAATTTTATAAAATAAACAAATTTTATTTAGTTTGTATCTACTAATAACTATAATTAGGCAACATTTCTAGAGTGTAGAAATGTTCAGATATCCAAAGAGACAAAATTTCCTCAATATAATTTTTTCTGAGACTTCTTGTGCTACAAAAAGATAGAAACTGCAAAAACATGTCTGACAAGATGGTGCCTTCAACATCAAGCTGTTACAGCATTTTTGCATCTAGACTATTTTAAATGCTGAGATATATTAGAATGACCTGAACCAGATATTTCATCTGAAGCATATACATTATTAGATTCAATACAACAACCAATTTTTTCTTACATTGGAATGTAATAAATTATTTAATTACACCACAATTTTATGCAATATTTTTCACAAAAATTATATGAATTTGGCTGACACTATGAGAATCGCGAATATTATTATATTACAACTTAGAAATCTAAGATATAATATCAACCATTTTATGAGACTTATATGAGTTTTGAGGCAAAAGCTATATGATTTTGAGATTCGTAAGCCTCGACTAACTTTAAACAAATGACTCCAATATTAATGTGGACTCAATTGAGGATTACTAAAATAACGTTATCCCACTTTTGGATACATTTTTGACTCAAATTATGAACTATATTTGATTCATTTATTGGGTCTAACCAATTTTCAAATCCTTCTGAGGATATATTAAATCATGGTAGTAAAAATTAAATATTTCGCTAAATTTTATTCATAGGATATAAATATGTCTAAAGGCCTATTAATTTCAGAATTTAATATTAGTATGAAAAATTAATTTTAGTGGACAATCCTCCAAGAAACGCAATGGAAGCATTGCATGCTTTAAAATTTATTTTGGAGTTTTTTCCAAATATATTAAAATTATTGTATATTTTGGCAACATTACCAACTATTACAAGCACAAATGAGAGGCTTGTTTCATTACAGAGAATAAAAACCTATCTTAAAAGTACAATATTTTATAATTGATTGAATAATATACATCGAGATTTAATCCTCATTCAAAAAAATTATTGTAAAATTGGCTTAATCGAAAAGTAGATTAAATTTTTATTTATGAACGATATTTTGATTAACTTTTTAAGTTATTATTCATATTTTAATGTGATTTACATACCAGTAGAGCCGTGACATCACTTTTTTTCGGACTGCATAAATATTATAAATATTCTCAATAATCATTTTGTTTCATCGAAATGTCAATCAGAATCACTTCATCTTAAACCTTTCACCTATTCATTTATGTAATTGGGGTTAATATACTCTTATTGGCAGCAATATTTGAATAAATACACTTAGTTTTTAATTTTTCCTTAGACATTATAGTATAGCACAAATTCCAATTTTTTTAAAATCGGGCTCCTGTCGGGCTGGAACAAATAATTTGGACTCGGGTTGTGCTTGTTTAAAATTCGGACTCGGGCTACGAAAAATTACTTTGCAGAACTCTACAACCAGTTTATATGTTATACTCTTATTGGTGGCAATATGTGAATAAATACACTTAATTTTTAATCCTTAAATATTATAATATAGCTCAAATTCCAATTTTTTTAAAATCGGGCTCCTGTCGGGCTGGAACAAAAAATTCGGGCTAGGGTTGGGCTTGAACATTAAATTTTTTAAAATTCGGACTCGGACCGCGAAAAAATCACATTGCAGAACTTTACCTACCAGTTTATTTCAATATAATATTTTTTAACTATATTATATTCGCTCTTAGATATTTTGTCATATTATTATTTATCTTCGAAATTGTCATTTTTTAAAATATGATTAGTTATAATAAATTTTTAATTTTTTTAAATTTCAATATATAAAAAAATTCCCTCCCACTCCTCTGTAGAAAATTTCTGGCTACGCACCCGCTCTATTTCATTGATCTAAAGTAAATTAGTTAATAAAATATCTTATTTTGATTTTCTAAAATAATAAAATTAAATCATTTTTTTTATAATAATTAGCATATCTCATAAAAATAAAAAAACTAAAAAAACGACAACCTATCTTATTAATATTTTATTCAACCTTTAGGTCATTTTCAAACAAAACGTTCTTTCAAAGCGTTTTCCATGGCAGGTTTTTCGCAAAATTTTTTATTTCCAAACAACAAGCGATTTTTATTAACATTTTTTATATTGCAAAATATTCTAATAAATAATTTGTGCAAAAAAGTACTATACCCCCAGAAACCAATGTTACTCTAAAGCTAATATTATTTACTTTTTAAAATATAAAAAGCATATACAGTATTTAAAGAACCAAATTATTTTCAAATAGCCTATACAAGTAGAATAAACAAACTGAGTATTTAGATAAATATGTCACTTTTATTAAATATTATTCACCAAAATTTATATATTTTTATTATAAAATTTACATTAATAAATGTAATGACATAAAAAATTTAGGCAATGAATATCTTAAATATAATGTTTTACAATATTGAATTAAAAGATGCATTTAGAAAAAATTAGGGATAAAGATAGTATTGATGCTGTTATAACTTATAAAAAAAAATTATATTAAATAACATTCCACATAACTATGTAATAAATAAGTTGCAAAGTCTTTATTTTTAAATATGTAATTGTTTATATTATTTTAAAAAATATATATGTATGTAAATTAATAAAATTTCTATAGAAATTTGTGGAAATTGTAAAGAATATTACAATAACAACATCGTCATTATACTTAGGTTTGTAGTTGTTCAAAGATATTCTGGGATAAATGTAATATCTGATTTGCTAAATATTCATTTCTAATGATCATAATTCTATTATCTTAATTTCCTTAATATTCATTGAATACCTTATTTTAATTTAATTGTAAATTAATATATTTATATCAAATAATGATGCCTAATTAATTAAAAAAATTGTTTGATTAAAAAACATAGATAAAAAGTTGTTTAGTAAACTCAATAAGATACTATGCAATATCAAACTATTTTACCTTTTAGCATATAAAATTTAAAATTTATCGAATACTTTATTGATATTGAAGTAAGTATCACCTGGTTTGAAATGATTGCATAAAACAATTTGTTCACTTCAATCATTAAGACGCAATTTAATCGTTAAAAAAAAGAAAAAAGGAAATATCGCATACATTAAAAAACGTTGCTTTTGGAAGGATATATCTAATAAGCAGTATCTTTTTTCCATGCTTTGAAAAAACATTGTGTTTGGACGGCCTTAAATAAATGATTTTAAATAGAACTAAAATCAAACTGTACAATTTTAATTACTGCAAATTATATTTGCAAGCATCATTTAATTTCCACATAAACCTCATTTAGTCATTAATCATATAAATCTATATAAACAAGATAAAAGTATAAGTTTGTTCATTCGTAAATCAAATATTTGTTTTATTTTTTAAAAAAATTGACCAGACATTGATGGACTTTATTATTGGCACATAAAAAGTGGCACCATACAAAGGGAAATGCCCAGCACATCTTGCCATACTAGCTCATTATCCCCAGTTACGAGTGATTTAAACCCTTTCAGGCAAGATTTAACAGATCCTACCGAGGTTAATTTTTATTATTGAATAAGTAATGTTTTCAGAGAATTTGGGCTTTTATATTTGTGAATGGTGCACATATTATTTAAGTGAATAAAATATTCAGCTTTCATAATTCGAAATTTTGAACATTTGTTATATATAATTGGGTCTATATGATTCATTCACAGACCCGACCGATATTAGAACTTTTATTAAAATATAATATTATCACCTGGTATAATTTACTTACATTTATAATTGATAGGGATCTGTAGAGATAAATTTCAACGCCTTCAAAAATAAGTTGGCTCGCCACTCTCTAAATTTGACCGATTATTTTCCTCACAGGTTAAAAATACAAATTTTTATTTTATCAGAAATATTAAATTTTCCTCTGGGTAAAATGTAAAGATTTAAAAGGAGAAAAAGAAAGAAAGGATTGAAGAATAATAATGAGTGTGTTCTGGCTAGAGACCGGCAATTCAGCCCGAAGCCAGGCTTGAGCCTAATTTTATTCTTTAAAAAACCAACCCAGGATCGGGCCTGAAAAATATAAAATGAGAAAATTATGTTTACTCTTGTTTTATCAAAAGAAAATAATAATTAAAATTTATCTCTGATACGGCCAAATCAATTAGTGATTTTATCTTCATGCAAATGTTTTTAATTTATATTACTTAATTAAAAATTTTACCGGCTCTGGCATATAATAAAAATAGAAATTCGGGCTCATTAAAATTTAAAATATTTAGGGGGTAAAAATAATTTGATCTACAGGGCTCTAGTTCTGAAATCCTTGCCATGATTATTTGGATAGATTAACAAAATATTGATTTTTCTATTCAAGATCATAATAAAAATAACATAATACCATAACTTTTATTTAAGAATAAAAACATTTTTTATAGTATTAAAATAACAGTAGATTCTCCCCCCCCCCTCCCACACATAATTTGTGAAAGATTTTTTAATTAATTGCCAGACTAGTAGTTACAAGGAAATAGCCTGTTTGCTCTACTTTGTAATATATATATAAATAGACAAAAAAATTTAGAATTTAATGGAAATTAAAAGAATGGAAAGGGAGAAAGAATGCGAATTAGAGGAAGGAAAGAAGTAATGATTGAAAATCAGAAAAAATATTAAAATTGATAAAACCAAAAATCACTTTATGTCGTCCACAAGCAGATCCAGTTTATATAAAAAAAAATTATATTTTTTTTACCAAAATTGTACTTTCCTCGAGAAAGTCATAAAAAATTTTGCGTAATGTATAAAATCACAACCTAAAATCGATATTTTTTCCTCGATTTTTTCTTAATCTAACCTAAAACTTGATTATTTTTTTTCGCTTCATCCCATACCCATACCAATATGTAATTTAAAAAAAAAAACTATAATTTTTTTTACATATTATTAGAGCCCGCAGGGCCTGGAATAACTCATCAATTTAATATAGGCTCTGATCATTGCTCCAAAAATGTTGATGTTATATTTCCTCTTATTCCTTTTTTTTGCCTGATTGAATATCAAAATTATAAAATAAGTTTAAAAAAGAAAAATTAACAAAATTAGGGAGTAGAAAATATTTTATATTTATTTTCATATAATTTGAAAGACAGACTTGTGATGGTCGAAATGCTAGGGCTTTGCCAGATTTTAAAAATATTTGAGCTCAGCCTGGCGGAATATTTTTGTTCCGGCCTGGATTTTTATTTTGATCATTTTTTGACACAGCTTGACCCATATTTTTTACAATTTTATTATTTTGAATAATTCGGGCCTTAATTTGCAAATTGTTATAACGGCAATGAGCAATAAATGAAAATTAAACGAGGTTACTGATAGATTTATAATTATTTTTTAAATATCAGCCTAATTTTGGATTTTTGAAATTATTAAGCTCAGACCATCCTGGATTTTTAAAAAGGCTCAGCATGGCCTGCTCTTAAAAATCTGGCCGGGCGTGCAGATCTATGATCTATAATAGAATAAAATGATAAGAATAATAAAATTATTAATGTTATTGGGATAATATAAATTAAATGAAAATAAATTTTTTTAGTTGGGTTCTAACAAAAAATTGCCACTTGTTATATTTTAATATCTTATGCATTTTAAAGGTTACGTTATCTGAATATTATATTATAACTTTCCTACATTTAATATTATATTATGGAGGCCAATATAATTGCATAATATTAGAAGTTAAATTACATAATTATAAAACACTATATATATATATATAGAACTTAATTTAAAATAAATAAACCGATTGTTTTGACTATAAAAAATGGCGACGAAATAAAAAAAAATGCGGTCTTCGGTCAAGTTAATTATATAGAATTATAATTTTTTTTTCTGTTTATAAAAAATAAAATAATAATAGATCTGTTTAGAAATTATGGATAAAATTATATTACAGGAATTCAAAAAGATGAATGTTCTATTGACGACTATATAGACTACATAAAATACATACTGAATGTTAAAAATATTCCTCAAACTGACGCCACTTTGAAAAAATTATTTATAGCTTATGGAGGAATAAATATTATTACTGATATAAAAAAATTACTCCCTCCAAGAAAAATTGATGATGTAGTATGGGCAGATCTATACAAAATTGCGAAACAACTTTATAAAGATGAAAGAACTGCTTTGGTATCGAGAATTGATTTCATTAGATTAAATCGCGGACCAACAGAATCCGTATTGAATTATTTAAAAACTTTAAAGGAGCTAGCCCGAAGATGCGATTCTGAAAATAATGTAGAACTAAGAATTCGCGATCAATTAATCGCTGAACTTAAGATGTCACAACTAGATAAAGAACTAACTACGTTTACGATACCCAGACATAAAAGACGAAGATCAACCGTTAAGCTTAAACAAAGTTATTGAAATGGCTTTAGGAAATAAATAATACTACGAAAATGGTTTATAAAATCAAAGAGACGAATAAATATAATGATAAGAATAATTAAATCAAAATGATAATCCACAGTATAATGATCATGATAATCGGCAATATCAAAATGATAATAAAACATACGTAAAAAGAGAACCAATGCAAGGTTATAATAACTACCACACAAATAATAATAATACCAGAAAACCGTGCTCTTTTTGTAATCGTTTTCATGCTATTAGAAATTGTCCAGTATACGGATAAACGTGCAACAAATGTAAGAAATCAAACCACTTTGCCGTGTGTTGTAAAACTAGAGGAAAAATTTACGGCACAAATTACAATAACAACGACGACGATTCAGAGTTCTCAATAAGAAAAGTCTACAAATATGGACAGCACCTAACAATTACGGTATTAATAAACAACCACGAAATTAAAATGGAATATGATACAAGTTCAGCAGTAACCATCATTAATGCAACAATATGGAATGGAATAAAATTTGGAAGCCAAAACTTAGAATGGCTAGAGATCCAACTACATATGGAAATAATACAATAAAAATTATGGGCGAAGATTATGTAAAAGTGCAATTAGATGATAAAATAAAATGGTTTCCGTTATTAGTTACAAAAACAAATGATGCAGCACTATTTGGATTTCCTTGGAATATATAATTTGATCTATCATTACCAACAAATGTAAAAATCAATATGATCAACAATAAATATAATATTAATGATAATGGTAACGTGAATATTGACAAACTATATAAAGAATTCGCTACGGTGTTTGATAATAAATTAGGATTAATAAAAAATGTCGAACAGTAAAACTACAATTGGAAGAAAATACAAATCAATTGCACTGCCAGCTAGAAGAGCACCGTTGCCTTTAAAAGTAGAAATTGAAAATGAACTGAAACGTTTGGAAGAAATTAATATAATAAAGAAAATAGATCTCAACAACAAGAGTGACCTGGAGTACTCCAATGGTAGTGGTACGTAAAACTTCAGGTGAACTACTATTATATGGAGATTTCAAAGTAACATTAAATAAATTTATACTAAAAGACTATCACATTCTACCAACGTTTGAAAAATTCGCAAAGATCGCTAATGGAAATAAATATACAACATTAGATCTCAAAGATGCATATCCACAAATGAGTATTGACTAAGAATCGCAAGAATTATTAACAATGGTAACACCAAATGGATACTACCGCTATTTACGATTACCTTTTGGTATAACTACAGCACCAATAATATTTCAACGATATATGGACGATTTACTGGCTGACTGTAAAGATACAGTAGTTTATTTAGATGATGTTATAATCACAGGAAAAAATGATATAGAACATATAGAGATTATAAAACAAGTCCTCAAAAAATTACAAAATGCGGGACTAAAAGTCAAAACATGTAAAATAAATTTTATGAAAGAAAAAGTATCATATTTAGGATATATATTAACTCTATCAAGAAAAGAACTTAGAAATGAAACCATAAAAGATCCAATTTTAAGAAAAGTAAAAATATTAATAAAAGGTACAATTATTCAAAATCAAGCACCTGAATTACAAACTAAAAAAATTGCTGCTCATAGAAAATGATGACGGTATTTTATTTTGGAATGGTAGATTAATCATTCCGTACTCACTACAAAAAAGAGTTTTACACATATTGCTTACGGGACATCCGGGTATATCATCAATGAACCATTACGAGACATTATATATGGTGGGAACAATTAGATAAAGATGTCAAAAAATTAGTTAACCGCTGTATTGGGTATCAAAAACATCGCAGAGATATACCAGGAGTTGCCGTATACCCGGGGAATCCGCCAGCACAACCCTGGGAAAGGGTACATTTAGATTTTGCCGGACCACTAGAAGGATTTTATTGGCTGGTAGGAATCGATGCGTATTCAAAATGGATCGAGATAGATAGAATTAAAGTTACCAAAAGTAAGAATTTAATAAATAGATTAGAAAAATGAGGCACACTATATGGTATTCCACGTCAAATTGTCACGGACAATGCCACAATTTATTAATAGTGTAAAAACAAGAATATACAACATATAAAAACTACACCGTACCATCCGAGAAGTAATAGGTTAGTAGAAAGATGCATACAAACTATCAAAAATCGGTATTTTGCAAATAGAGAATATGATGGAAAATGCCTAAATAAAGTATTATTTACGTATAGAAATTCCGAACACTCCTCAACCGGGCGAATACCAGCAAAGCTATTTATGGGGAGAAGAGGGGAGAAGATCAAATACATAATTTGACTGGGTCAAACCTTTACTGAAAAATTAGAAACTTCTGTAGTGAAAAACCTGACCAGTTAGATAAAGGTGTACATAGATATTTTGGAGAAAAGGATTTAGTTGATAAAAAACCCAATTGAAAAGGGATGGCATGAAGGAAAGATAGTAAGCCAATAAGCATTCTCTTATAACGTAGAAAAAAAAGGTAAAATCGTACGTAAACACACCGACCAACTACGACCAAGGGAAAAACCAGTTGAAACCGAATCAATAAAAACAAATGACAATATAAAGTTACAGTAGAAACAATGGAACAAGAAGGAATTCAACCTCGATATTCAACGGGGGAACGAAAGCAAACAAAAAGATTAATAGATGAACTTGAACTTGGTAAATAAAAAGATTGATAGACGATCTAAATTTGGTGGGAAAGAACATATGTTATATTTTAATATTTTATATATTTTAAAGGTTACGTTATTTGAATATTATATTATTATAACTTTCCTACATTTAATATAGTATGGAGGTCAATATAATAGCATATAAGAAGTTAAATTACATAATTATAAAACACTATATATAGAACAGAATTTAAAATAAATATACCGATTGTTTTGACTATAAAACCACTGAGCCTTCGGCGTGCTCGGTTAAAAAAATTGATTACTTATAGCCTTTTTTCCTCTATTTTCTTTATTTCATTTTTATAGTTATTTCTTTCTATTTTTCTGGTGTAGTAGGGCCCAGACAGGATATTTTTCATAGCATTAAAAAACACAAATTAATAGATTTTTTAGAAACATATTATATCTTTTAAGAAGCTCTGTTTATTTTTATACCTTTTTTAAAAAACCTCCTTATAACATTCTGATAAAAATTTCCAGATATGAAAAAAATGCTGTCCTTTTAATATGGGTGAAATTTTTACCGATTACCGTTTTTGAACCTTCCTCTACTTCCACTAGATATAATTTTCTTCGAATTTTTGTTTCTATCGGGAACTTATCTAGACGTAAATATTAAGATATTAACGAAGAGGTCTAGCTATTCGGCGATTCATTTTTTTATGAAACTTTTTTAAATTAGTTTATCACGTATGTTTTTCGAATTTTATATATTTTGTTTTTTTGAATTAAATATATTCGTGTTACATAGATGTTTAAGTATTTTAGTCGAATTCGTTTTTACACCATCAATAACAATAATTATAGGTTATTAAAAAAATTGAATTATTGACAAATTATGGGTTAATTGATTTGGTGGGTGTTTCTATTTTATTTTTTGGACGAATAATTGATATTTATTATATATTATTCCTTTGACGCTAAGCCAATTTACTTCTGTGGCGTTTTCTTTAGGCATTTTAAAAAAGGGACATGGAATTTCTTAAATGTTTGAAACACCGATGCATTTTTAGAAAAAACTAGAGCCCAACCTAAAAATATAATATCCACCGGGCCGTGCCTAAATAAAATATGACCGGAAATAAAATACAAACCCAATCTAACCAAATAAAAAGGCACATGATTCATTTTTCAAACATTTATTCGCTTCCCATATTTTAAATATATCCCTTTGAAACCATTTAATATAATACAATCAATTATAACCTAGGTCAGCCATGAAAAAAAAACTTTTAACTCAAGTCATGCATCAGACCTATTTTTTCAGGTTCATCTCGATCCGAGAATAAGAAAAATTTTGTTCAACCAATTTTATTTTTGAAGTCCACCGATCCGATCATTTTTTTTCTATTTAAAATCTAATAACATAATGTGTGTATTATATATTTTTTTTTAGAAAAAACGCAATTATATAGAAATGACTATTAAAATAAAATAAAAAATAACGAAAAATTGAGGTCGAAGCTCCTCTTGCGATAGAATAATAATATTAGTGATATAATTTTTTTATAATATAAATATATATTTTGTATCGTTATTATTTACGAATTTTCGTTATATTTGCTCATTTTATCGATTCATACTTGCCACTAATCATTATTTTGTGTTTTCTCTTTTGAAATATCATTTTATAGGAAGGGAATTGACAGGACGGGGTAATGTGACCCCATCTCGAAAACTTCGTTTGGATGGTCTCTCTTCAAAATGACTATTTTAGTCTCCGCGTAATTTTTTTTTAAAGGAATGCTTTTTTTTAACCCTTGGTCGATATTATTATCGCCACTCACATTAATGATCTGCATCGGGCCTAAATATTATAAGATCCGGCTCGAAATTTAAAAAAAAAAATTTTCATAGCCCGAATCAACATTATCCTCAAAAATTAGGCTCACCTTCTACAACAAAGGTAAATTCGTACCCGGGAGGTATCGGGCAGCTTTGCACATCGTTAACTCACATATTCTCTCATTAATAATAAATAGCCATATTTGATCTTCAATGCTATTTTTTTTTGCTGTTCGTAATGAGTTTCTCCCTGCTCTTTGATCACACAAGTTTTCATTGGAATTCCTTTCCCTATACTGGTCGACTATAATGGAAAGTGTCTTATTTTGGTACCAATGACCTATAAGGTAAAGTTTTTAACCAAGTAAATTTTACGCGCGATGAAAATGAAGAAGGTTGGCTAAAATCAAGGGATGACCTTGACCACTGACGAAATTTAAAATGTAAAACTTTCGGTTAATGTATGTAAATGTTATATATACAATTTTTACTTATTGTATAAAAAAAATGCAACAATTGTAAAAAAAATTTCCATCCCATCAAAACGCTAAAAAAACACGAAAATAATCATAATGAGCAATTTAAAAAATATATATCACACTCTCAAAAAAGTTATAAGAAATTAATCGATAATATGCGACGTCGCGCTATTATTTTTATTTTGTTAGAAAATCCTAGATATCGAGAAATTAAAAAAATGAGGGATGAGTCATGGGGAGAACAAGAGATTAAAAAAATATAAAGGGGAAAGCTGGAAAGAAAGAAAGAAAAGTATAATTTGATCATATAGGGGAAATGTGCCATAAACGGCCATGGTTGAAGACTGGCCCCCTTTAACTTATGATATTTACCTTACCTAAGTTCATTTATTGCATATAGGAATTCAATAAAAAAATATTTCAAATAAACTGTTTTTAGTACCTCTTTCTGGAAAAATCACCTTACACATTTTTTTGTTTAGTGAAAATATTCCTAATTTAGATTATGAATATTTTATATAAATATTATCATTAGGCATTTAGCATTATTCACACAAAAAATTAGACTTTAAAAGCTTTATTTAATAGACATATAAGGCGCTTAATAATAATAGAGAGGTGGGTATTGACTTACCATGTATTAATTGGCCACAATTCGCTCATTCACATATTCATATTAAAATGAAAAGCTCTTGCAAAACAACATTTGGTGAAATAAAATGATGAACAAGCTTAAGAATGTTTAGTAAAATGATAATTAAGATATTAATTTATAATATTATCATTAAATAGATGTGGTAATAAATTCAGATTTTAATACTAATTAAATTAGTGTATAATTAATTTTTTATATAACTAAAAAATGTAGAAATAGCAATATAAGTCTTTTACAAATATTTTATATTGTATTATTTTTATATTTATGATAAAATTCTTAAATAATATATTATGGCCAGTTAACACATAGTATATGGCCAGTCAATACATACTATGTTTTGATTGGCCAGAAAAACAACTTTCACATAACCTCATCTAGCTCATAAACTATTATACATAGAGCTTTGATTCTAATTTTATTTTAAAGATTTATATATAGGCTACATATTGATATAAAATTTGTTTGGTTAAACACAAATTTTAATACCTTTTTTTCAAAAAAGCAAAAACATGGCTATTCATGGCACATTTCCTCTATATTGTTCGTAATCCTTAAATATTCTTTATTTCTTTCTTTCGAAGCTAAGCCATCTTTTATATTGATTCTTCGTTTTAATTTATTTCATTTTTTTGAAAGAAATTACAAAAGAAAGCCAAACTTTTAAGTTTTAACCATATCAATCATATCGTTTAATAAAGCTTATTAGCCAGGAATAATATAAAATACTATTTAAAAAAAGATGGTTTAACCTTAAAAAATAAAATTTAATAATAATCAGGCTATGTTGTAAAAAAATGAAATATCATAAACAGACAAGTAACTTTTATTTACACGATATTCTTACATAGGCCATTTTCAAACAAAACGTTTTCAAAACGATCTAATTCTGATCACGTTTTTTAAAAACAACATAAGATATTTTATAAATTCCAATTTCACAAAATATATATCTAAATCAAAAGTAGCTTCATATATATATATATTATTCCAATTTTTTTTTAAAATAATAATACTAAAGGGATTTCGCAAAATATCAAGCAGTTCCGGTACCAGCACTTTCGACGGTTTAATTTTTTTTTTTGAAATTCATATAATATTTGAGTGAATTAAAATGATCTTTGATAGTTGCATTTAAGTTGATTAGCAGCTATATTTTATTTTTTTTACTGGTTTTTAATAGTTTAAAAAGCGTAAACCTAATACAAGAATGATACATTTACTATTATTATTATATTTTTGCCACTGTTAAAAATGCTTTAAAGGTCGGCGAATTTGTTCGAATGTTAATTACACCCTTTTTTGGATCATTTGTATCAGTTTAGATCGGTAAAAGTCATGATTTATTTCGCGATTACCGGTTTGAGTTGAACTTACATCCTCAAAACTACTGCCACCCATGGAGTGTTGTCATTTACCTAAAGTTTGGCTCTTGTTGCAATTCGCAAACATGATACTGCATAATTTTTATTGTTATTTTATTCCAAACATTCTTCCCCCAAAATATAAATTATTAAGCCTCTGGTATTCCATGTTAAATCACTGGGCTGGTGCGAGATAAACGAAGCCGATTTAACGCCCGAAAGGTCAAGCAAGGCTGTCAACAAATGCATCATGGATTTATCCTATGGAAGGAACTCGCTTGAAACCATAGGAAAATGGGGAGAGGTAATTATTATTCTTTCGTTTCCCTTATACCTAGACTTATGAGCCGCTGTGCCACACTACCGTCGTCCGAATTTTTTGGTCATACTACGCAATCGATTCAAAAATTTTCGCCAATTGGAACGACACACCTAAATAATACTTTCCCTTATAATTAAAAATTACCTTAGTATTCTATAATTATAAATTATATTATAAAATATAAAATTTACAATTATTTCAAAAAATAGTCTGAACTGTAAACCGCTGGCCATGCTACCGCCGCCTTCCAAATTTTTTGGTCATACTACGCAATCGATTCAAAAATTTTCGGCAATTAAAACGGCACACCTAAATAATACTTTCGCTTATAATTATAAATTACCTTAGTATTCTATAATTATAAATTATATTATAAAATATAAAATTTATAATTATATAAAAAATAGTCTGAACTGTAAAAAAAAATAATTCGTAAGAGAGTTATCAAACCATAGGCATAGTCAGGTTTTTGCTAGGGAGGAGAAGCCTTATTATCCTGCATTCTTTCGCTAACTGTGAATACAGGGTTGGATTGATTTTTCTTGCATAAGTTTTAATGGAGGTCTTTAAGTCCACATATTGATTGTTTGGCTATTTTATATTTTTATAAAAATAATTTTGGATTTTCACTTTTTTTCTAAAAATGTTTTTTTCTAAAAGTTTTGAATTATTGTCATTATTTTAAAAAATTATTAACTTTTACTTATTTTTTTTTCAAATTACTGTTTATAGTGATATGTTTTATACATTGGGGGAGGGGGGGGTTTAGGGAAATTCTTTTATTAGCATAAATGGTTATTTACTAGAACATGAAAGGGGGGTTTCCATTTGCCCCTCCCTGTCAACGTCTATGTACCAGACAGAAGCATGCATTAAATGATGTTTATTATACATCTATTATGAAAACATATATTTGTGAAAAATTAAAAATATGTCTTTGTCGGATAACATTTGAACATATGAACAGATAAATCAGGCGAAGAAATTTTAATACTGCATCAGCCTAACAAGTTTCATATCGAATTTTATTACGTTAGCGACAGAATATATAACCCAGAAACATATCGGGGAAACAATTCTTTCTTAGATGAAGAAAGCTGAAATTGTATTTAATCTGAGGTCTAAGGAAATTATAATGGTCAAATGCAATATATAATATAAGGAGAAATATCTTATGTGAGTATGAAAACTATTTATATTTGTGGCTTAGCTTATGCAATCTTGTAATTGTACAGAATAAAAAAAATTTATTTTAAAATAGAAAGTCTTGTTTAAAGAAAATTAAGTATCGTCGCTTTAAGCAAGACTTCGTAATTTGAAGGTTGATCAATTTAGAAAGCAGAAGATGTTCATTCAAATATCTTAGAATTGGACGATGAAAATCCCTATATTGACCCTTTTTTTGAATCTTATTGCTATGAAAATACTTGAATGGAAAAAAGATTTGTTGAAGCAAAAATAGTTCTGTTCTGATTCTCAATAGTTTTCAATAATCGGTTCCGGGTTTCCAAGAGCCGTTAAATTTTAAAGAATCAAGAATTTGGGTATAATTTTTCAATATCCTTTTAAGGGTCAAAGTCTTTTGCTCGAAATCGATTCGTACAATTTGAGTCTCAAAGCAAGGTCCGGTAAGTTGATAACTATCCAACCTATTCATTCCATAAAAGTGTGGGGCGTCGGAAAAGAAAATGGAAAGTAAATCTCTATATCGTTATAAATTTTTTTAAACATATTTATTTTTTTTGGGCCTAATCGAACATTAAGAAATGAATGCTCTTGAGATTCTGAATTTTATTACTGCATGCTGAAAAATATCTCTGAATAAAGTAATGCTGTTACTTTTATTTAAAATAAAGTGATTGTAACGCGTTACAGAAGGGTTTACCTTACTCATACTCGTTACTTTTAGATTTTAAAATATGGGGGAAGTTATAAGAAGGACATTGTTATTTTTTTAAAATAAATAATTTTATATGCAAAACAATTAAATGAGTATTATGCTTCTGCATATATAGGCGTAGCCAGATTACCCCACCCCCTTTTGAAATAATTCGAATAATAATTATTCTTACTGTAATTTTAAATAATACAATTATTAATCAATTTAAATTCTTTATCAATATCATAATGATTAACAATAGAAAATAAATTCTCTTATTTGAAATATTAAAATCAATTATAATTATAGCCTATTTAACACTGACTTCCAAAGCTTTTTTTAAACGTTGCTGTAAAATATTTGATATAATTAGTTGTTCTATATAGTGTTAAATGGCTCCAGAAAACTATTACCTAAGCCTCGAGATTTCACTAATAGATTTCAAACCTTTCTGCCATCTATGAGTAAAATCTTCAGGTTTGTGTAATATTTTTCTGGATAAAATATTGAGTTAACGGTTTTTAAAAATCGCTCAAATCGAACCGTTTATAATTTCGATAATATCTTTCATTATTTTAGCTAGATTATTTATTCCGACTAATTTTTTGAAATTTAATTTCATCTAGCCATAGATTTTTTAAAAAGATTGAGAAAAAAAAATGTTATCTATTTGAAAAAATATATAGTCCCCACAAACTAAAAATTTAACTACGCACCCGTATTTGATTCTAAACTAGTGACTTCAATCCGCCCATAATTCATAGGCATTTGTGTTAGCTTTGCTTGGAACATATATATTAAATCTATTTGTTTCAAGAGCCCTTTTTCGATTATTATATTCATGTTTACATTTATTACATATCGCACACAGTAGTATAGTCTTTTGTTGATTCATTTTCAATGATTAATATATTTTGGTGGATTTTATTTTTCAACTCAGCTCACAAAATTATTGATGATTTTTTAATTGCAATTAAACAATGTTTATAAACTAAATAATGCGATAAAATGTATATTTACGCAAGAATAATAGGGCCAAAGCCAAAAATATTTGAATTTTCTCTTTCGGGGAAAGGGCGGATTCAACTTGTTACCTCATAGCTCCAATAAAAAGTTTAAATAAAAATCTAAATACTAAGGATTAAACAAATCTATATAAAAATTAAAGGTATGGACAGCCTGGATTTGGCCGAAGATTTTCGTGCCGGGTCATACAAATTGTTCAAAATATTTTTACGGGTCTGGCCAAATTTTTGAAAATGTTTTCAAAGCTGGTAATTAGGCAAAATTATATATCCTTCATTAAAAATTATTACGGGCCAGTTCAAAGAGCCCGATAGAAAATTCAGCAGGCAGGGTCACGCAAACCTTTAATATAAACATAATTTTGAAAGTACCGAGTGACGTGTTACATTTTTAAATGCTATGTAGCTTAATCAGAGGCTGAACAGTCATACTTTTTTATTCTAATTAAAAAATCTAAAAATAGCTTTTCCGTTTTAAACATTTTCAAATCTATTCACCATAATAATATGATTAAAAATATTCCTTTTTATAATAAAGCAAAATATTCTTTTCTGATGCCTTTGCGGACATTTTTAAATGAGTCTTATTAATTTTTAATGTTTTTTTACACGCTGCCTTCATGCCACTTATTTACAAAGAGAAAAGTATGGTATATTTTATTTTACTCTTTTTTTACTAAAAGATTTGAACGATCTTCTGTATTTAACAAATTTTTTTAATCTATACATAATTTTTTAACGGGGTGAAACGATGATCGAATCGAAACGTTATACACAAAAGATCACTTGGGTTTTTATGCTTTAGCGGGTTATTAATTATTTCGTGGGCGCTAACATCTCCATCTTCTTAAAAAATAATGATATTTATTCAACAAGTTTTAGCTAATTAGAACTGTGACCGATATTTCATTTAGAAACAGATTTTTGTTTAAATAAATAGATTCGATCCTAAAAGTATGTTTCATTTATCTATTATGTCCATTATCTAAAAATTTGCTATAACCAACTTACATATCCTTCCTTTAACATTAATTTATCATTCAGAGATTTCGCCTACGTAGTCAAAGGCATGGTGCATTCCCCTTTTTCTAACGCAGGTTCTAGCCTCGACTCGCCACTTGATTCAATTACTAGGGACCGTTCTTTAAATGAAATCTCTACTGTAAGGGGTTATAGCGGTAGATGCCCGCATCGCATCTTACCTCATACTGCACCCTCTTACTTATGCTACGTTTTTCGGTGCGAACCTTCGGCATACAGCATCGCCGGTACGCTCAAACGGGCCTGCAAGAGACTCATGATTGAACGGAGTAGCTCACTAATCCGATCCCCATATCAGTTTATTATTTTTAAAAAAAATGTTTTTATCCAAATTAATTTACTTGTGTGCGCTCTTTTTTATGGTAATACAAAAATACTGGAGTGCATCTTGTCCACTGAATGTAATATTAATAGGAATGGTTGTTTAAATTATCGGAATCGATTTTTTTGGAACTTATTTTATCAAATTGCCCTTGCATGATTACTTTATACAATTAGTTTTCTAGTGCTATATAGTATATGCATGTATCAAATGAAATCTATGTATTTACAATTTATATGATGCTTCATATTTGGGGTTTTCACGGTTTGCAGGGTCGGAACAATTAGCAGCTTTAGCGAGGCTTATACTGGGGGTTTGAACAAGTCACTTTCTTTTAGCGGTGACGGCCCCATTTATCCGGGCGGTTTTAGGCGACCTCAGAATCTCTCTCTGACCCTGCCTCGCGTCTCTCAGATATCACCCATCGACGTGGGTTTCTTGGATCCGAGTACCAATACATGCTTTTCATGAATATTATATATAATAAATAGTACAAATCCTCTGATTTAAATAACATTTCTTCCATAATTTAGCTTAAAATTTTGGTTCTAATTATCCTTAGGATATTTTGCGATTTTAAACTCATTTAAATTCAATATAACTAAAATGAAAAAAACATATATATCAACAAGTGAATTGCTTCCCGACACCCATTGAAGAGCCATTTCGTGTGATAAAGGCTTTGTACATCGGAGAGATCAAAGTTTCTAAACCTTCTGGTAAAAAAATCTTTATACTTTTAAACCTAGTTTTGTTTATTAAAATAAGGGTTGGTTGATCGTTATTTAGTTGTAACTAAGTATATTTTCTAAAATTAAGCATTCAAGTATGGTATGGGGGCTCTAGTGAATAGGCTCTATTTTTAAGGACGGCTTTATCTCATTTTCGTTTTTTTAGGCTGAGAATTAAGAACCAAACTACTAGAATCCGAAAAATCAGTTCTTAAAGTAATGAATGATAAGATACAAGTTGAGTGGTATGGGCTTATGATAATCCATATCAAGACGAATATAATTTTAACTAAAAATTTGGCCATAACAATCTTTCTCAATTCTTTATGTAAAATACACTTTTATAGGTGTTGAGGTTCTCAACGAGGCCATAGAAACTCTGTATAATAATGTTCCCCGATCATCCTGGACGTCAGTTTGCGTGAAAATCTCCCCTTCTTGTATTACCATACTAAAACAAGATGTAATTATAGTATTTTTTTAAAAACTATAATATATGGATAAAATAAAAATGACTATCTTTTATATTTTAATATAGGTCAGTGAAATTTACTAAGGTTTATTTGCAGTGAAATCTAATTGACAATTTAGTTATATTACTATTTAATTATTTATATTAATAATATCTTTCCTCCCTCTTCTTGTATCACCTTTATTTCCCCAGTCTCCCCCTGGTGCCGAACCCCTGACAAGTTGCCGTGTCCGTTATCTGTCGTTTCTGGGGATTGCCCAAGCCGATGCATGTAACTGTGGTTTTATTATGAGTACATTACTCCCTCCCCACCCCTCTTCTCATGATCTCACTCGTGGAGATCATGATATAGACTATGTCACACAAGTGCCAGAAGATGACATAACAGATGAAGTAGTGAGCGGAGCCTATCTCTGCCAGGTTTGATATTGAGTATAAATGCCTACAAAATAAAAAAAATATGATTGCTTCCATTTTCGATATGCTTCTTTTATAATGGTAATAGTGTTAATGCGAATCCTTTATTATTAAGAAAAACTTAAAATTGACTTATAAAAAGAATTGTGGTAATTTTTTTATTTATTATTTTTGTGTAATTAAACATGTATCAGGTACTTAGATGCGAGCCTACCGCCGCCGCTTTGTGTAAGACAATTGAAGCTGCGTGTCGCCTTCGTTACCAAAAATGCCTCGACTCTGCCCGTCATCGCCTGACATACACTGGCAGTTCGACCTCACCTCTTACTTCATCCACTGCTACATTTGCAGGGTTGTCTGAGGGATGGATAGGACTGGAAGGAGATAATGGAGGATCCACATTAGGAGTTAAGGTATATCTACTGACTAAACTTAATAAATATGACTTAGTGGCAACCACTCTGGGCGTCTAATGGAGGTTTAAAAACCCTTTGGTCTGGGTTTAGAATATAACAACGTCTTCATGTTGGAGTATAAAATTCATATACAGGAATTGGTGTCAGTCAGGGCTTCCGATTGTAAAAAAATTCGCTTCAAAATTCCCTAATGATATGCCAAATATGAGCAGGTAACAGCCAAATTATCCCTTGGGCTTACTCATTCGCATACGACAAAAATAGAACCCCGATGAAACCATTCTGGAAAATGATAACATGACAGCTATAAAGGACATATGTGGAGAAACCAATCTAGTAGTATTAATGAGAGTTGTGACATTGAATTCAGGCGTCATGTATGTTGCATACAAGAGATCATATGGAAAGGTAATGATGCAAAGAATGATTGGAAAGAGAAATGAAGTAATATTTTTCTAGCAAGGAAGTAATGATAGTAAACCTGGTGTTGGCATGTTTGTTTCGACAAAAATATAAAAGTAAAAAGAGTAGATAACTAGGTAATGATCTTCAAGATAATCTTTGGTAGAGTACTATTCAATATTATCTAGACATATACTCCTCAAGTTCGCAGAAGTGACGAAAACATCTCCATGTATGAATTGTGTAAAAAAGATCTCAATACGGTGCTTTCAATATGCCCTACTTATCCCATCCCATGCCTAGCGGACATTTTTGCGAATAGAGAATTCAATGAAACGATATAATTTTTTTTCTTCATTTTAATGGCGATTTCCAGGTTTACCCAAGTTAGCCAGTTTCCCCTCTGATTTTTCTTTTCCATTGTAAGATTAATTTTCCTTATATCCACCGCTATCACCTTTATCCACGTCATCTTAGGCCTTCCTCGAGGTCTTAATCCTCCTACCAAGGTACATCTCTTTACCCAGCCATCTTTTGTCTTACGTTCCACATGCCCAAACCATCTTAGTATATTGCTTCTCATTTCCACTCCAATTACTTCTATTCCCATCCTTGTTCGCAATTCCTTGCTAGTTTTTCTCTCTCCCAGAGATACCACACACATCCATCTAACCATCCTTATCTCTATTCTTTCCAATTTAGTTTCGTGGAGTACTTTCATTTCTCATGTTCGCCGCCATAAACTAAACAACTCCGCACAGCTTACGTAAACTTTCCCCTTTAACTTCAGAAAGATTTTTTTATTTGTTAAAAGAGACGATATCTCTCTGAACTTCTTCCATCCTTGTCTGACCCTTGCAACAACATCAGAATATACACCACCATCTGCGTTTAGCATATCACCCAAATAGCAAAGATTTTCCGTTTTTTCCCAGCGTTGACCCATTGCCAATATCCAAACCACCATTTTCTACGTTATCATTATGTACCCCTTTATGCATGTTCTACAAATAAAGATCACTCTTGCTAACATCAGACTTCCTTTTTTCCAACTACATCTTTTATACCCCCATTTCTGGCATCGGTGCATTGGATTCAATTTCTAGTAACTCCTTTCTCACATACACCACAAGGCCAGTTGCCAGATTCCTCCTTCAGATTATCCCTACCAATTATCACCTTTGTCTTTACTGCATTCATTATTGTCACAACGACAAGATTGTCATTGTGGATCAAAACCTAAATATAAAAATAGAAAACAAATATATATATATAAAAAGGAAATTAATAATAATTAGGAATCACGAAATCATAAAATCAACTTTAATTCTTTATTCATTATAATAGTAAAAATCATAAAAAAATAAAATAAAATATAATTAAAAGTAAATTTTAGTTAAAATCATAATCCCCTTTTTCGCATCATAATTTCTCCATTATATATCCTTTTTCTTTAATCAACATTTACATAGTCTCCCTAGCGAAGATTAACAAGTTCTACATCCTACTTGTTAAAACTGTTAAAGTATGAAAAAATCTACAAATCTCACGCGTTTTTTTCTCATTTACATAGACGGGGATATTTTAATAAAACATTATTTTTGTTTACGATTTGCATAATGCATTTTTTTGTAAAGTAAAACTGCAACACCCTTCCACTTAAGTTAGACCCACCAATCTGCGAATAATCAATCTTCTTTCGATCTCGACTTATTCTTCTTAATTTTTGCTGTCTTCTAAGTTCTAACGAAGGCTTTGTCGCTTGAAATTTTTGAATTCTATCTGTCGCTTGTCACCCTGTGAAACGATCAGCTTTTTATCGCTGTAAGCCACTGACGAACTTGATACACGCCTGTTTTCCACTATCCACGATTGATAACGATTATCGATGACATCCAGTTTCCTTTCCTCTCTTGTTTTTTGCTAGTCTGTCTTAATCTTTTTTACAATTTATCGTAGCTTTCTTATCAAGACTAAAGTCTCGGAATAATTGGCTATTATTGGTCAGCGATTAACGATTGCAGCATAACGTCTTGACCCTCTTTTCTATCAATTTGCTTGTTTTCCCCCTTTCTCTTGTAATTGATTGGTTGTTGCCTCGTAATCGTATCTATCTTTCAGACTTTCGGGTCTTCTACGACAGTTTGTCCTTGCTGAGATATCGGGTTATCACATCTAATCTACTTCTACCTAAAATAATCTATTTACATATCTACATTTATCTCCTCTAAACTAATTCTGCCTTTAATAAATGGCGTAAATTATACTAAATCTTAAATTTTATAATACGTAGCAAAATATAATAAATTATATAAATATATCACATTCTCTCCCCTTAATGAAGCCTAGACCCATATTTTCATTGAAAAATTTACTTGTACTCATCCTTTAGCTATTGATCCCATCTTCTTTTCAGCCATGTCTATACTAAATTTATATCTAAAAATCCTATTCTAAAATATATATCAAAACCTATCTCTTTAAAAAAATTATCCTTGTGTATTTATTTCCTCATGTACTCTTTGACACTCAGTCTTTAAAAAAACTGCTGACATATATAAATCTCTTTTCATACATACGTTGTTGAGAAATCAATGACCTATCATAAAAGTTTTCATACTTACGTTTATGAACAACCTCTTAATTCTAATCACTATGGTTTTCACCCCACGTCTTTGAAGAACTTATGAAATCTAATCATTATAATTTTTCGCACAACCGTTGTTGAAAACTGATATGTATATTTCTAAAGCATGTTTTTCCTTTTGTATTATTAGAATAATATTGTATGATTCTTCTTAAATCTTATTCATGATTCAAAATAAAAATCCGATCTCAAATTGAGCTCGATTGCGGCATAAATTTTCTAATGACGAAAAGCCGATTCTCTCTATGAAGATTTTTTGATTAATCTACAACCTAATATACTAATTCACATTAATCCTTGAGGCTGTTTTATCTCTCGCAGCCCTTAAAATAAAAGTTAAACGTAAATCTTCAATAAGAATTTAATCAACTATTTCCTAACAATAAAGTTATATTCTAATCTTATTCACCGAATTTTTTAATTATTATATCTCAGCAACCTATTAGTTAAATATTTACTTTCGCAATTTATGTTTCTATTTCTTTGTCAAAGTTATTTCTAGTGATCACTTGATAATAATTCTAAAATCTAAAATATCATAGTCTTTATTAGTTTCAAAACCTTTGTCTTTAATTTTAGATTTTATATTCTTACATAAACATAATCTTAACCACATAATTTTTCCCTTTCATCTTTATTTACATATTTTTCTTACGTTCTTCTGGAATTTTTTTTTTTTTTGTATTAGAATACAGTTTGACACATCTCCTTGTTGCCGGTCACAGACTGAAGGTTATTAAGGGCCGGTCTCCTCCGCTCTTCGGCACCACTGTCACAACGACAAGATTGTCATTGTGGATCAAAACCTAAATATAAAAATAGAAAACAAATATATATATATAAAAAGGAAATTAATAATAATTAGGAATCACGAAATCATAAAATCAACTTTAATTCTTTATTCAAAATTATAATAGTAAAAATCATAAAAAAATAAAATAAAATATAATTAAAAGTAAATTTTAGTTAAAATCATAATCCCCTTTTTCGCATCATAATTTCTCCATTATATATCCTTTTTCTTTAATCAACATTTACATAGTCTCCCTAGCGAAGATTAACAAGTTCTACATCCTACTTGTTAAAACTGTTAAAGTATGAAAAAATCTACAAATCTCACGCGTTTTTTTCTCATTTACATAGACGGGGATATTTTAATAAAACATTATTTTTGTTTACGATTTGCATAATGCATTTTTTTGTAAAGTAAAACTGCAACAATTATCATACCCTTTGCTTTCATAGCCATCTCCCATCTAGTAATTTTATCCCTCAATTTTTCCTCGCTGTTTGCCATTAATATAAGGCTATCTGCATATAATACCTCCCACGGAAATCCTTTACGCATATCTACCCACCACATCCATTACTAAGATAAATATGGACTCAGCAAGGATCCCGGATGTAGTCCTATCCTCACTTCAAAGTTTTCGCTATCTCCATCATCCATCCGTAATGCAGTTTGTGCTCCCACATACATTGCCATCACTAACAACCAAGCATTCTTCCACACCTGATTTTCTCAAGGCCCATCTAGTAACCTCACGCCGCCCCCTATATAACACCTTCTCCAAATCAGTAATCGCATAATACAGTTTCCTTTCCTTTGCAAGATACTTCTGTATTTGTTTCGACACAAAAATTGCATCCGTCATGCCTTTCCCCGGTATAAAACGAAGCTGCATTTCATCAATTTTCGTTTGTTCCCTTATCCGCTTCCCTAACACCCTATTAATACTTTCATAGCATGTTTTAAGAGTTTAATAGCTCTATAAGACCCGCATTCTAAAGGATCACCTTTCCCTTTGTATACTGGAATAATTATACTTCTTCGCCAATCCTCAGGAATAGTTGTGCCAATTAGATTGCATAAATTCGTTAACCATTCAGTCCTTAAGTCATCAAAAACTTTAAACATTTTTGTCACCACTCTTGTTAAACCCACTGCTTTCACTTTTTTCAATGCTCTCGTAATTTCGTCCATGCCAAATCTACACCCTGGATCTTCTACCTTTGCACAACATCATTATCTCATTCATTCTCTTCGTCCAAAAATCTTTCCATGTAGATCTTCCAGGTGTTCTTAATTTCACTACTATCAACAGACATTTAACACCTACCACATTCTGCCTCTTTTTTGCCATCCAGATCATATTTCTCATTCCTTCCGCGCATTCCATGTCTTTAACAAACTCCTGCCTTTGTTCTTCTTTCACTTTCGGTATTAATTTCTTGACATTTCTCTTCGCCACCTTTTTCTTTACTATTATACCATTTTTTGTAACACCTCCTTACTCGCCCACAGCTTTTGCTATCTCTGGATTCCACAACCATGTCTCCTTATATAAAGGCGGCCCTCTTGTCCATATACCTCCTTAGTTGTCCTCACTCATGCTTTCTTCGTGACCCTACTTATCATACCCCAGATACTTGTGCAACCTCCGCCTCTCTTAACGCCAATTTTATATTGAATTGACCTCTAGCACTCTCCTCCTTCAATTTCTAAACCTTCAGTCTTGGCACAAACTTTCTTTTAGTAATCCTGACGCCTTTAAAAGTGAGATCTCAGTCGATGCTGCTCAATGCATTTCTCCTCGGTATCACCTTCATATTTTTTTAATATTCTCCTATCACATCTCCTCACTAACAAATAATCCACTGCACTTTTAACACTACCCGACTAGTAAATCACCAGCTTCTCTGATTTTTTCCTAAATATTGTATTATAAACAATCATATCTATAGCATCACCAAAATCCAAAATTCTCTCCCCTTCCGAATTTCTCGTGCCGAATCTAAATCCTTTATGTACTCCCTCATTACTCGCTCCCACATCTCCATTCAGATCACCAGCCAGGATAATCCACTCTTCATTTGCCAGCCTCGATGCCACCTCCAATAGACTGTCCCAAAATATATCTTTATCTTCTTCACTTCTTCCAATTTGAGTAACATATGCCGATATAATATTGCATAGCCTTCTACTAAAGGTCATCTTGATAATCATTATCTGGTTATCTAATCTTCTTTCTTCGATTACTTTGTCCACTGATTTCTCTGGAACAAATATACCAATGCCAGCTTTACCATTATTACTTTCTTGCCAGAAAAATGTATACTTTTCATTTGTCCTGCCAATCATTCTTGCATCATTACCTTTTTATCTGGTCTCTTGTATGCAAGACACATCTATATACCTTATATGCGGTGCACCAACAACTTCTCCCGCTCTTCGTCATGCTTCCAGCATACCACGTCACAACTCTTACCCTATCCCTCATAAACTGGTTTCTCCACTAATTATCAGGTCGTTTATGGCCGTCATATGTTTCGTTTTCACGAATCATGGTTCTACCAGGTTTCCCATCCTTCTTTTTGTCGTAGGCGGATGAGTAGGCTCACAGGGTTCTTTGGGCTCTATCCCGCACATGCTTAGTTGTAATTGTTATGTATTAAATTGTTTATTATATTATTTATTTTGTAAAATGTTTATTTTTATTATTTTGGCATTATCTTGTGAATATGCATACACAAAAATAATGGGATTTTATGATAAAATACAATAAAAAAAATATGTTATTTGGTTAAATTACTACTTATACATGTTAACGGTAATACAAAAATATTTGTCAGAAATACTACAATTATGAACTAAATATACTTTAAAATGGCGCAGTCAATAAAAAGTGAAACGGATTCAAACCTGTGTTATAAAGATTGATACATTGAAAGAATTTAAAAATACACAACCAAGGTTAATATTATCACAAGAAAAATCACTGTTATTAACAAAAATATGATGTGATACTTATAAAATACTGGTGAATTTGCACCTGATAGTCCAGGAAACAAAGAGGTATACATAATATTTTAATAAAATTTTTTCACCCTAAACCTAATATAATTGTAGAGAGATATAATTTTATAAATATAATCAAAAAAATGATGAAAAATTAATGGACTATATACAGAATCTTCGAAAATTATCAACGACTTGTGAATATGGAGAATATTTGAATACCGCTTTAAGAGATAAATTCATATTTGGACTAAAAAAAATCCTAAAATATTACAAAGATTATCATCAGAGGAGGATTTAGATATAAATAAGGCTATTCATATAGCTACTACGGTATAAATAGCTATAAACACAGAATTAATACAAAAAGATGAAACTACAATTTATCATTTAAAAGAACATGATAATATAAAAATAATCATAAAAGTTAATAATTATAATAATAAACAATCAAAAAATATAATTACTATAATTTGAGCTTTAAAAACCCAAATCCCTATCACTCCTGCAGCGGAAATCATAGAAGGGAAAATTGTCCTTAAGAATGCCACTTGTTATTGTAACATAATTGGAGACATTGCTCGAGTCTGTAGGAAAGAATAGTAAATTTTATTGATAATACAACAAATGAATATAATCCAAAATTTTGAGTGGATATCAAAATAAACAACAGCGATATCAGAATAGAATTAGATACTGGGTCTGGGGTAAGCATAATAAACGAAATAGATTGGAAAAATAAACATCGTCATGGATTACAAATTGCATGCTAAAACTTAAAGCTATACAGGTACCAATATAACACTACTAGGTCAGACTAGTAAAAGTAAATATAAAGGATGAACATTAGAACTACCTCTCATATTACAAAAGGATATATAAAAAATTGAAGAAATTGGATAACTAAATTTTCAAAGATGACTGAAATACCTGAAAGGGCCATACAAATTAATAATATTAATATACAAAATGAATTTCCTCAATTTGACAGATTTTAAGGCACAAATATTTTTGAAAAAAGAGGAACCAATACCATAAGCATTAAAATAAAAAGTTGAAGAAGATTTAGACAGATTGCTAAAAATAGGAGTAATTGAAAAAATTAATCATTCACTTTATGCATCACCCATAGTAATTGTTCAAAAAGATAAAACATTACGAATTTTGCGGGGATTTTAAATGAACTTTAAATCAAAATGTTAATATTGATTCATATCCAATAAGAAGAATCCAAGATTTATTAGCCAGTTTGGGAAAAGGAGAGAAATTTTCAATATTGGATCTCTCAGATACCTATTTTCAAATTAAAGTGGGGGAAGAGTCTCAAAAATATCTTGTAGTGAATACGCATAGAGGATTATTTAAAATACAAGACTATTTGGTATATCGTCTTCTTCAGCAACATTTCAATGAGCCATCGAGAATTTATTAAAATCTTTTTAAGGAATAACTTGTTATTTAGTTTATTTTATAATAACCGGAAAAAATAGAAACACGAAGCAAATTTTAAAACGGTACTAAAATGTCTAGACAAAAATGATATCAAGCTAAAGATACAAAAATGTAAATTTTTCAAACAAAATGCCGAGTATTTAGAACATAATATAGCTAAAAACACGATTACAACTACAGAAAAAAATACTGAGGCAGTAAAAAAAACACCAGAACTAACAAATTTAAAACAATTACAGTGTTTCTAAGATCAACAAAAACTATTCAAAATTTATTTTAAATTTTGCAGACAAAGCTAAACCATTATACAAATTATTGGAAAAAGCAGTAGTTTGGAGAGGACAAATGAATGCAAATACGCGTATTAAAAGATAAAGCAAGAAATAAGTAGTACTCCAATATTACAACATTATGATCCAAAATTACCCATTATATTAGCAACAGATGCGACAGCCATAGGAATTGGGGCAGTAATATCACATATAGAGAGGGGTAAGGAGAGACCAATTGCATTCGCCTCAAGAACACTAAAGGTAGCTGAGAAAAATTATAGCCAAATAGAAAGAGAAGCTCTCGCCATCATATTTAGGGTTACAAAATTCAAAGAATTTATAGAAAAAAGTTCACATTACAAACAGACAAGAGATATACCAACAACATCTACTGCGAAAATACAAAGCTGGGCTTTATTATTAGCAGGTTACCAATATGAAATAGAAATTAAAAGTAGTCGATAACTAGCCAATGCTGGCATGCTATCTCGATTACTTATACAAGGAACCATAATATCAAAAGTAGAAACACTAGATCAAATACAGGTGTGAGAACAAACACCTTTAAATGCAAACAAAATTGAAAGAAAAACAATGTAAGATTAGGTACTCTCTAAAGTATTCAGGTATTCAATAGATAGATGACCACTAAATTACGATATATGCTTAAAGGAGTATATTCAAAAAAGAGAGGAAAGGAAATAACAAAGAGAGAAGTTGTTTACTATGTAGAACTAAAATGACATAATACATCAAGGACAGATTGGATTGGTAAAAATGAAGATGAGAGCAAGACAATGGGTCGAAAAGGAGAATGCTAGGAACAACATGATATTCCTCATATGACATCAGTTCAAAATGGGCCAAAACCACCAAAAGCATGGCGCCAAGTACATATTGATTATGCTGGACCATTTCAAAATCATTATTGGTTGGTATGATAGATGCTAACATCCTCTGGCCAGAAATAGTTCCCATGACTAGTACAACATCCGAAAGCACGATAAAAATTTTAAGAAATATATTTGCTGCGAAATAAACGGAATACATTTAGTACACGGAAGTCCCTACCATCCTCAGACTAACAGCATGGCCGAACGTTTAGTTTAAACTTCAAATTTGTTTTATTTCACATATAAAACCAGTCTTGTTATTATCGTCTTGCACTCCCCACCTTCTACACACTTTCTTCTCCAAACAAACGTCGCGCTTGCCTTCTGCAGGCTCCCTTCGTACCACTACACCTAGCGTGAACCCATTTCGCCAGGTAAAATTAATAGTTACTAGCAAAGTCTTTCCATATACTCCACATGACCACCTTACTGTCTTCTAAATCTTTTCTGAACCTTCTCCTCCAAACATCACCTTCATCTTTTCTTGATTTCTTGATCACTCTTCTATAACCATCCACCAGCCCCCCCCCCTCAATTTTATCTTACTTTTCGCTATCACTACTAAATCGTCGACATTCGGTGTTTCCCATGGAAGTTCTTTGCTCGTACCTCTAGCCACTACGTTACAATTTTTCCCTAAACATTTTTTTAAACAGTTCGCACTCATTACATTCAGTGTCTCTTTTGCCCTCTGTGCAATCCTAAAAATTCCTCATCCTCCAACTCCCTTGCAAACTCCTGCTTTTTAGTTTCTAGTGTTTCTCAACTATTTTTTTAGCATTTTTTTTCTATCTTATATTTTTCCATGTCACTTTCCGCTATAGTTTTTATGCATTTTGTAGCATCCTCTTTTTTTTCATCAATTGCTTTGACTGCGTCAAGATTTCATTACCACATCTCTTTGTGCCTCAGCGATATTTTTGTTATACCAACCTTTTCCGTTGCCTTTACTAAGTCTTTTTCATCATTTTCAACTTATTATTTACACCTGATACCTTAGAGACTTCACTCGCACCTATGGCTAGCATTGTACAAAATTCATTTCTTAAACTTTCCTCCAACTTCCAGAAGCCTCGGGACACTTTTGTGTACTTTTCCTTATGCCTTTAGCTATAAGATCGCCTATAACTAAACGATGTTGCGAAATACATTTATCTCCCAGTATAACCTTCACTTTACTATACTTTCGTTCCCCTTTCCTCACCAACAAATAATCCACCGCACTTTTTATTCCACCAGATTCATATGTCACCAAATTCTTTATATCTTTCTTTAAGAAAATGTTACACACAACCATTTCCGTTGTGTCACCAAATTCTAATATTTTCTCGCCTTCAGAATTCCTCATGCCAAAACTAAATCCTCCATGAACCCTTTCATATCTCTCAACATTCGCTCACCATTTGGATCCCCGCCTAGCATAATGGCCTTCTCTAGAGATATTCCTGATGTCAGTTCTATTAAATTATTCTAGAATGCATCTTTCTCTTCCTCAGCTCTACCAACTTGAGGGGCATATGGAGAGATTACGGTAAATATTTGCTTATCAGCTATCACTTTGATAGCCAATATACGTCTATCATTCTTGCACATTTTCATCTCATCTTTTTTATACAGCATACATCTCCCCTCCCGAATAATGACTCACCCACTTCGCTCGCTCTTCCTCCATTCCACGCAGCGTCACTACCAAACGGTTTCTTAACAGAATCTTATGACGGTCATATGTATTACTTTCGCTAATTGTGGTCGACCGGGTTCCCATCATTCTTTTTATCGTTAGCAGAGGAGTGCGCCCACGGTATACTTCGGGCTGTACGTCCATATTTCATTGTGCTATTAGAAGGTAATGGAGCAACATTTTTACGATCGGATGCTCTTCCTGACATCAATCTCTTTCATCTTACAACCGTATACATCCATTTCTTGATATAAACTTACTAACCTATATATATCCGTGTTAATACTTTCCTCTTTCCTAATCTAACGCGTTCAAGAGGTTGGTTTCAGAAGCAAAAATAGGCCGGAAATTGAACCCTAGCTTGCTGGGCCAATCCATGTCTGAATAATGATTTTTTTGTATTCAAGGATAATTTACATTATCGAATACTTTATGAAAACACAAAAACTAATAACGCCGACGCTATGCATCATTCCTCCTCCTCCTTGTAAACATGCCACATTTTTATTTCTTAATATTTTCAGATTATTTTAATAAGAATAATTATAAATCCATTTTTAATTATTAAATTTGAAATATCGCATAATATTTAGAAATAATTTTGTTTGTTGATAGATCAAAAAATTATAAGAATAATTAGGGTATATCTTTTAAAGAGTTTTTAAAATTAGTAAATCGGTTTAATATATTTTTCAAGCCAAAATAAGATGCATCATTTTATTATGTACCTTTAAACAATATGTAGTTGCTATTTAAAATTATATATATATCGCTTAGTCATTGACCACAACTCTGAAATCAATGTGGAATTCGATAACCTGGAAACACCCAAGCTTCACTCCTAAAATAACTTCACCATTTTCCCCACGTGATTTGTTATTATGATGTTTAATTTTTTTTAAATCATACATAAGTTATAATAATATGCCATTATAATGTAATATATCGAATAACAAAATTGTAATGCCATCAATATATGTATTTTTTTTAAATCTAATAATAACTATACTATTAGAACCCTTTTAACAGAAAAATTGATAAATGAGGAAAATGAACACTCATGAATTATGGCAATATTTTATTCGTTTAAATATTTTATATCTTTCTTTTAAAAGGCCTCTTATTTTTAACAAACCTTTATAAATCGCGTTTGTATTTATGTTAAATGGGCTTTTAAATGTAAAATTAGAATTTTTAGCCAAAAAAGATTATATTTAACGAAAATCAAAAATAAATTTTCGTTTTTTAATATATTTTACATACTTTTGTAGGAAATTTATTATAGCTTTTTATATGGAATATAATATATTCTTCGTTTTCTTAAATTTATATACAATTATTATAATTTCCAATCATATTGTTACGTATTTTACATTTGCCTTATAGTAGTAATTTGTTATATAATAAAGTATTTTTTGTTACATTTACATCCAGTTATGATGAATAAATCAAGGTTTAACAATAAATATTTTGCTAACAATTTTTTTAAACGATATCGTTTGCATCGTGAATTTGTCTAGTCATATAAATTGTCTGAAATACATACTAGTTCTGTAAAGTAACGTTGATGAGTTTTTAAGGAAAAGGAACTCAATTTGTACTTGTATTAAGAGATAATGAGTAACACGTTTCTTTATTTGAGTAATGGTAACGCAAAACGTTACTCGTTACCTTAAATTTTTTCTTAAAAATATAGAATTTTTTTATTATATATAATATATTTTTTAAAACTTTATTAATAACTTAAGCCGAGTTTTTAATTCAGATCTACTAACCAAGATCTTCATTTTATTTATTATTACATTTTTTATGTTAAATTTTATACAGTCAAGATGTTAATCTAATTAATATTGAATCAATCAGGGTTCTAATATTGAGTCAATTAGTGTATGTTAATTTATATTCTATAATATTATAATCTTATTTATTACTTATTTTTTATGAAGATGATATTTAACTTTGCCCTGGCTCTAGTACAAAACATTTTTAACACTAATAAAGAACATTAAAGGCATTAAGCCTACAAAATTCGGATAAAGAAATTATTTTGATGAGGATCCTCAAGATGGATATAAGATTTTTTGAAAATAAAGTTTAAGTACTAAATCTCCCTCCAAATAAAATTTTAAAGGCCTGGGCGCCAACGAAAATATCGGCGGCCTGCGTGAGTTTCAAAAATATAATCGGCGGCCGGCGGCAAGCCGCTTTTTGCCGCCATCAACAAAAGCGGGGTAAATTGGCGCAGTTATAGATTTTTATAACATAATTTTTTAATTGCTAATTAATTTTTTTGAAAAAAATTAAATAAAATACACACTACAGATATCTCGGCATATTTTTTAATCTTTATTTAAGAGAAAACTCATAAATTCAAAATTTTCGTAATTTTACAATTATCATGTATAAAAATAATTTTATTAAAATTTTTGGGACATATTGAATCTCCTTAAATTCTACGTCAACCCAGAAGTAGAAAAAAACTTTTCACTGGGTGTGCTAGTTGTCTGAATATAAAAAAATTTTTTGACGAGCATGGAAAGATTAGGAAGTTTACCCTTCTTTTCTCTCCAGAAATTTAGCATATCTCTCGTAAATCGCGTTTTCCAAGAAGAATGTAGCATTCTTGTTCTAAGTCACCTAACGTTATTATAATTATTCATGTCTATGTGTAATATTGTTGACATGGCTATGAAATTCAACTTTTGTAAACCTCCCTCAGCACCCTAGATAAATCAAAAAAGACATAGAGGTAGATCTTGTTCTTGTTTAATAAAAATGGCATTTGTAATTAATGTAGTATAAATAATATAGCAAATTTTTATATATGAATTTGATACCTTAGTTTTTAACAAATTTCCTGTGCTAATGTTGGTTGTAAAGTTTTAAATTCTATAGCTAGATTATATTTTACAAAAATTTTGTCTTAATATGAGAAAATAATATTTAAAAAAATTATTTGAATTATTATCGTCTACAATAGCCGTTTCTAAGCAACAATTACGTAAAATTTGTCAAAATTTATGGAAATTGTTTTATTATCTCTTTTTTAAGTATAAGAAACCAAAGAATTTCCAAAAGAATAATAATTTTTTTTATTATTTACTGTGATAATACTAAATTTTTTTATGGATTTATTAATTGTGGATGCAAAAATCTGTGAAGTTGAGGATCAATTAACAAAACCTATGCCAATATTTAGAGTCTTAATTGATATTCAAACCAGACACCAGTGGAATCAAAGCTATATGAGTTATAAACAAAATAAGGAAAATGTGAAATTTTGAATATGGACAAATTACCGAAACTTATACTATTGTGTAGCCCGTTAATTGATTTCCACACATCAACGGAATCAAACGTTACTGAGTTATAAACAAAATATGAAAGTGTTTGGATAAAAATTGTAATATTTATTTATGTTCTCCAAACCCATACCCTGGACTTGAATCCTTTTTTTAAATTCCCGGACTCTTTTTTGTAGAAGGGTTACCATCCATGGAAAAACATATTTTTATCAAAAATCACTATTTTGGGGCGTGACTAAAATATGCATTTCCGGAAACGATTATGGTGTAACTCAAGGAAATTTAATTAATAAGCTATTAATAGAAATGATAAAATTTTATTAAAAACCATTTTAAATATATCTTAACCCTAACCCATATTTCTCAAACCTTTAATTAACACTCTAACCCATGTCTAACCTTTAATCCTGTTTAAAGTTGGGTTATTATTCCCGAAAACTATGCATCCATACCCTTTCATAATTAAAAAGGCTCTAATTTAAAATAAATATAGAATCATGTTTATCTATTCGAGGGGATTTAAAAAATGTTAATATTAATTTATAAAAAAAATTCAAATATCCCTATTTTCAAACTACGCATTCCCTATCATAGAAGCTCACATTTAATAAAATTAATATAGAATCGTGTTTAGTTTATTGAGATGATATAGAAAATGTTATTTTTTAAAAAACTGGTAAATTAATAAAATATCAAAAAGACACTTTTTTATGACTAAAATATGACTCGAAATTATGCGTTATTTTAAAAGAATATAAAAATGTTAATATTAATTTTTAACAAATTTATTAAATTAGCGGGAAGATTTTTTTTGACTTAACTACGAATCTTAGCTAATTACAAGTGAATAAAAAATAAAATTTAAATCATGTCTAACAATTAGTAGAAAATAAACAAAAATTGAATTATCTTTAACATGTCAAGGTTATCCAAGAAATGCAAAACTAAAGTTTTAAATGTACAGGAATATTTTCGAAAAATCAAAGATTTTTAGACTAAACAAATAATTTATACGATTTTTTTGAGATATATTAATTAATTTTTAAGTGGAATTATGTTTAACATATTGAATAAAGGTCAGGCTCAGGAGCCATAATCTATCTATCTAGTCAACATTTTTTAGAGGTAAAATCCGAAATTTACTAAAAATAATCATATTCATGAGGGTATAGATTTATGCAGGGATGAGTAGTTAAATTTTTGACCAACATTGTTTCCTTAAGTAATTAAGGAAATAGAATTGAATGTCAAAAATTAATTTTCAAAAAATATTAGATTATATCAAAAAGGACATACTTATGTTGTAGTGGGAGTAATTAAGAGTTCATAAAAATTAATCGGATAGATCAGAAATCTTTTTAGGGCATTTCAATTTGAGATCATCTCCTGTCCTCCGTTTTAGGAAATATGACCTTGAAACTAAAAACCGGCTAAAAAAGTTTTTAAGACTCAGACCGGGCGAATGTGTGTATACTCTTCCATCATCCAGCTCGAAATAATTACTTATGATAGAAAGAGATATATTTGTTTAGTTATAAGTTTACAAAATTTAGAAATTCTGGAGGCTGGTAAAATATTATGTTCGAGTGACCCCACCCTAAATTTTAAGATTTCGAGCTGGGGCATGCTGATCTCTGATAACTCTAACTAAAATTCGTAAGATAACGTATAGGCAAAGAAATTAAGTAGAATACGAAAATTTAAGCATATGACTCTTTTTTTAAGAGGCATATAAAATAAAAATAATATAAAATAATGAAAAAAATATGAAAATAAAACAGATCATTTTTTTAACAATTCTTTACGTTTTTTTCCCATCATACATACAATATTCTTTTTATGATTTTTTCATTGTAATCTTTTACATACATTTCTAACCTTTTTAATCACTTTAAGTCATTTTTAATCTTTATTTTTTTGAGCATTTCTCAATTTTTTTCTTCTCATTTTTGATAATTATTTTTTAAAATTATATTTAATGTTTTTGGCACACAATATAATAACAATTGCTAAATTAAACTAATCGTTTGGTTATAATGTACCTTTTAAAATTAAATAAGTTAATTAATAAAATATAATCATTTTTAAATTCTTATTTTTATATATAGTAAAAAAAAAGCGTCCTTATTTATTTTTTTTAAAATTTATAAATTAGTTTTATCAAAGTCAGATATAAAATAGATGTTTTAATTAAATGGTCTTTAATAAACGAAATTATATGTACTAGGATCTGTAATCAGGGACCCGAATTGTTATTTATAACGGTTCAGTTTGGTTACGGTTCAGTATGTAAAAAATTATAATGGTTACGTTTTGGTTACGGTTCTTAAGAAAAAATTTACATTCGGTTCGGTTCAGCTAATTATAAAGGTTCATAATGGTTCATTACGGTTAGAATTTTTTTTTTTATTGAGGCAACACCATCGTCTAATTTATTTTTATTATATGCATCTATGAATTATATATAAAAAATATATATAAGATTCAAAATAACTCATTTTTAAATATATTATAAGTAATATATTTTCTAATATATATGGATTTATATTTGTTTGTTGTGATGATAACACAAATTTTAGCCCTAGATAAGGCCCTTTATACAGAAACTTGTGTTGCGGGAACCATCAGTACTATAAGAGTAGTTTATATAATTCTGGATATTCAAATTTTTTGATTATTTAAATATAAAAACTGAACCGGTTTGAACTGGGTTTAACCATTTTTTATAAAGGTTTTTTTACTCCTTCAAAAATTAATTATATCGGTTCGGTTACGGTTCTGATATTTATAACGGTTTATAATGGTTTAACGGTTCGTTATGGTTCACTCCGGGTCTCTGTCTATAATTAACTAAACTAGAGTAAATTCCTACTGTTTTTTGAGT